CTTCGACGTCGGTAGGGTTATTTTCTACACTAGTCGCTCGACTAAGAATGTCTCAAACAAAGCTCGCCTCTGGAGACTTCCCGTCGATCGGTGGGGGGGGGGCTATCTACTCTAGCCACTACATTGTAAGTCCGTAACCTTACCTACCACTCACCCACTGGGGAGTTATGGTTAAAGAGTTAGCTTTAAGTAAAAGCAACTTTAACCTCTTCTTTACCAACGTTGCTTTTGACAACTGAGCTCTTGAAGAATAAAGATTCACCTAGAAATGAAATACTTAATTTGGATTTGAATTTAACACATATACTTCATGAAATTCTGCTTAAGGCTAAACTGAAGTGAGTCGTCACATAATATATATTATTCTCATGAAAATAAGTTTTGTAATGAACTTTGTGAGATGAGCTTTTTGGAGCTTTGAGGAATATAACAGACATGCAATCCACACAATCTATGTCATCAATGACTAACACTCATACAGTTCAAAGATATATTTCAAGTTTCAAGTTGACAGGAGTGCTCGGAAGAACCCATCAATTTAGTGGTGTTTGTAAATTCTACAGCATAATGGGGTGGTATGTTCAAACATTACAGAAACTGATCACGTTGTTTGTAGGGTAATGGCCCATACTGGAGCGTGGTCGTGGATTCAATCTGTTAATTGGTTAAAATCCACGAGATTCACCTTCCTCTGTGACTTTATTAATTTTTCTCGCTTTATCAACATACTTCTATTTTTCACTTTCATATATAGTTTTTTCGTTCTTAAAAGTTAAATCCACATTTTCTCAATTTTATATTCTGTACCTTATCTTGAAAAACAAACGGTTTGTTTTCTGAACATTCTTTGTTTTAATGCATTGAATTTTACCTTTGTAATAAAGAGCTGATCCCATAGCTTAAACATAAGCACACGGAACACAGTTCACCGGTGGGACAGCGGTAAGTCTTCGGATTTGCAACGCTACAATCAGGGTTTCGATTACCTTCAGCAGACACAGCAAATAGTTGCTTTGCTGTTACGTCGTGTATTCATTTCTGTCAAGAGTTTGGGCGTATAGATAAAGCACCAGTTCTAAATGAATCAGTGCCAATCTTGAAGACTTCTAGTTGACTCTGCAAAGTTTTCAATACTGTCATTCTGTGCTTTGAATTATTATTTGGGGGGGGGAGTATTCTATATATATATATATATATATATAGTTATTGTTGAAATTAGTTTTATATGCTCTTAAGCCTCCGTTGTCTGTCCGCTTGGATTATATCAGTTTTATTTCTTTGGCCACTTATTTGTTATCTCATAAAATTGGGCAAAGGAGAACACCCTTTTACGAGTTTTCTAGTGTGAAATTTTCTCTGCTTTCAATATTGTGTTATTCTTCGAAATAGATTTCCCCAGTGGCTCAGTGATAAGTGTGAAAGTTTATTACGCTAAAAACCGGGTTTCTATACCAGTGATGCGCAAAACACAAATAGCCTT